GCAGCAGTCTGTGACACCCACTCCAGAGTGAGCCGCTGTCCCTGTGTGGTGACTGCCCCAGCTGGGTGCACACCTTGATCCAGAGCAGGAGGGAGGTGGTGGTTGTGGGGGCTGAGGGTTTGAGGCTTGCTTGTTCAAGCACTTAACAAGACACGCTCCCCTGCCCCCTGCCCGCTAGGGTGTGCAGCATCTCCCCTCTCCTCCTCTCTGCGAGGGTGGCCGTGGCTGTCAGCCGCAAACCCACCCCCAGACACCCCTCTGTGGCGCATGTATCAGCTGACCTGCCATCAGGAGGAAGTGACTGAGGCCTTAAAAAAACACAAAAGCAGCTGACAGAAATGCCCCTCTCTGTGAGCCAGCTTTCCATGGCTGCCGGGCTGCATCTTACCAAGGCCATAAGCAGGGGCTGTGTTAGAGAAAAGTCTCCGACGCCCCTCAAAGTTAGCTGTAGGGAGGGGTGGCTGGAAGAGGGCAGATCCAGCCCAGATGACAAGCAGGGCCCCTCTGGGAAGGCAAACATGTCTTTCCTTCCCACAGGGTCTGGCTTGGGCTGGTCCACCTTCAAGGGACACTGACTCCCCACCCCAGTGGGGATGTGGCTGTATGGGGGGGGACAGGGCAGGATCTATCCTCGAGAGAGTCATACAAATTTTAAGAAGGAATTTGGATCTACAGATTCCATGCAATTCCAATCAAAATCCTAACAAGCTTTTTTATAGATATTAACAAGCCAATTCTAAAGTTTATAAGGAAAGGCAAGGAACAGGCTAAGATTCTGAGAAGTGTCCTTAAGGCAAATGAGCAGGAGCACGGGCAGAGAGGAAGATGGGTGATTCTCCAGCATGGCTGGTGAGGTCCCAGGGTGCCTGCCTCCGATCCTGCTGGGTTTTCCCATTTCCTCAGCCACCTGCCCTGGCCCCACACTGCATCTGCAAAACCACGTTCCTCAATGACTTTGCTGAGGATGAACTCTATCAAGGAGGGGAGGTCCCACAAAGGATCCTAACGATTCATTTTTTTGGCCACAGGTACTTACTTCTTCTCTCATCCACTGACCTTGCTGTTTCCCCAATGTGCAAAGTGAGCACAGCCTGTGTGAGAGTTCTGCCTTCTCCACGTGTGTCTGGAGTCCTTCAGCTCTCTCAGGAGGGCCTAGAAGTGTCTTCTTTCTGCCCAGAGCCCAGCATTCGCCAGATAAAAAGTGATGGTATTTGCTGTGCTCATCAGGGAAGCAAGCTGCTCTTTCTTCCCCTCTTTAGTCGAAGATACTCGGGTGAGGCCCACTGAGGCAATGTGACTTGTCAGGGCCAGAAGGCTAATAACAGGCAGGCCTGGCCTCACACCCGGAGCTGCTTCCAAGTCCCGAGCTTTCTCCATCTGCCTGGTTTCTACAATTTTGGGGCCCGCTGTTGCACAAAGAACTGTCTCAACTTTTATTTTGCTCAGTCCTGTCCGTGTTAACAAAAGTGCATGATGAACTTCTGGGAAGTTCATCACCAACCGAAGACACAGCCCACAGGCTGGGCCGCCCCACAAGCTTGTGCAGCACCGACGGGGCCACCACATTAAATCTCCCTCCCTGCTCCAGTGACCCGTACAAAGCCCGGGCTGGGCTTTCCAAGCTGTGAGTCAGAGGGTGTCTGTCCATGCCTCCCCAACAAGAGGTTACCCCAATCTCCCTTTCATCCTGCTGGTTCACACCTCTGGGCCTTCTCTGCCCAAATCCTACCCACTAAGATTCCAGATCCAGCTCAAGAGGAATGTTCTCCACGAGGCCTTGTCCTGCTGCCCCCTGGCTGAAGGCAGCCTGGAGTGGGCCCTGCATTCCTCTCAGGACACTTCAGAAGGGCTGGTGCCCACAGGGGTGCCCACCTGGCACCTGGGCTCAGTGTGGGCTGACCTGGACCAAAGCAGACTGTTCTTACCTCCCGGGAGCCAAGGAAGCGAAGATGCTCAGTGGTAACTGGCCTCAGAGGTCATCCCTGCCCGCCCCCCACCTCAATGGAGCTGGAAGGTTTCCCCTTTTCCCCCATGGCAAAGGGGGCCATGGCAGGGGCTGTGGCCTAGGGGCTCCACAGAGCCTGCTCCCAAGCCATAAACATCCTGCTGGGAGCTCCCTTCCAGACCCGGGGTATCGATGAGGAGAAAGGTCCCCTCTCTGCTATGACAGACACAGAGTCTGCTGCCTCAGGCTCTTCCTGGAAAGCCCACACCCAAGGCCTAGACCCTGCAGTCTGGGGTTAAACCCACAAGGGTCTGGTCACTTGGTACAGGGACTGAGGCTCTGCCCTGCCTTCCCGAATAATCCAGGCAGCACCTTCGCTCTAAGCCTGTTCAAGGTAAGAGAGTCCCCTTTTCCTGGGGGGGGGCTACAAATTCCTGCACAACTCCATGCCCAGTGAAGGCGGGGTTTCCTGACAACCAAGGTGGTGACTGAGCACCACAGGGACCACCACAAAAGCAAAGCTCTTGATTCCCAGGCCAGACCGGCCCCCACACACCCGGCCTTAACGGAGCCGGGGTCAGAAGAGTGGAAGAACAGGGTGAGCTGAAGCAGAACTCAATTCAGTGTCCCACGTGTTTGGTCCCTGGGCTGCTGTGAGCAGGCCCTCCGACCTCCCCCACCGCCCCCCACGGGTCCAGCCAGGCGGGCTCAGCAGGGGATTTCAGAGGGGGTCTCGGGCTTCGCCACAAATGACTCATTAAGGCCTAGAAGGTGAATGGGGGCTTTTTTACCCAGAGCTCCGGCGTAGGAACCTGGGGCCCTGCACCCCTTTCTTTTTCACACAGTTTTTGTGATGAAATCTCTCAGGCACACAAACATTCAGAGAATAACAGACACTTGTGCTCACTTCCTCCAGAGTCAACAAAAGCAACACTCTGCCGTTTTTGAGACAGGTTTGCTCCTCCCCACTCCCCCGTTTTTGTTATAGAAATCCTATATTGTGGCCGGGGACAGCCTTTCCCTAATCCTGTTTCCTCCCAGCTTCCCAGCAGCTAATCTGAGGGCGGGAGTGGGTGCATGGCGGAGAGCGTGGTCCCATGTCTGTAGCTTCCACTTCAATGCCCTCTTCCCACACACCTGCTTTTCTGTCCAGTCTGCCTGCCTCCAGAGAGCGTCCGCCCCGTGAGGGCAGGGACTGTGTTTTGTCCTCTGCCGCCTCCCAGGCCAAATCAGACAACCAACTGAGCCGGGGCTTGGGAAGCGAGTAACACCTCTGTCATCGTGTGGGTTTCCGAAATATATATATAAATGATCCTGCCCTGTTCTCACTTCTGTAGCCTGCTCTTTCCTCCACTGACACCATGTTTGAGATTCAATCCCACGGCTCAACAATCAAGTGTTCTAGCGTATGACCCACCCATCTGCTCACCAACATCCCTTCTCTTTCTCATCGAGGAGGAGGGGGATGAGAGCAGGGACCTCCCAGCAAAGCGAAGACAGCCCAGAAACCTGGACTCAAGGCTCTAGCCAGTGATCAACCGAGAACCTAAGTAAGAACAAGCCAAAAGAAAACTGAAAGTCCCCCCAGCAGGTCCCACAGAACAGGGGAAACTGTGCAGGCATGCACCCCCAAACCACACAAGTGGGGTCGCTTGGCAAAAGAGCAAGGACCTGGCCTTCATCTCTGTCACCGGTGAGGGCCCCCTGACGGGCTGGTGGAGGGGGCCAGACCCAACAAGAAAGCAGAGAGCCCAGCACTAGGGTGGCGGGGGTCCCAGCACCACCACTGCGCACAGAGCCGTTCCCATTTCTGGTAATAGGTGAGGTGGCAAGGACCCTACAGGGCTGCCTGTGGGGACGGTGTGAACCCACTCTGTAAACTGTCATGCAGGTGCACACACACACATACCCTGTGGACTTGAAAAAGCCCCACCTCCTGTGAGATCAGCTGCCGATGAGGGGCCCGCACCCGGGGAGGTTCCACGCACACTGGTGAAGTTAAGTGGCATCAGGAAGTCCTGCTTCCTTCTCCAGGGAGGGTCCTCCACCTTCTGCTGACCCCCTCAAAGCACAGCCCGCCCAGGGAAGTCTACTTCAGACATCAAGATCCACTACCCCATGTGAGCAGACGCCTTCAAGCCCTGGGCCTGAAGGAAACTGCTCAGGACGGAGGACATCAAGGTGACCTGTCCATTCAGAAACCAAGTCTGATCCCAAGCACAGTTGCCCCGCGGCCCTTGTGGCCTGAGTTCAAGGCTGGGCGTGGGAGGGAGGGCACGAGACTCCGGAACGCTGGTGTGGAAGTGCTGGGCGGACAGGAAGGTTCTCCCCAGCTCACGAAGATCATCCACACAGTGCCTGCCCACCCCACACTTTGGATTTGCAAACGTTTCCCAGGTATTTTTGATGCAAGGCAGCACCCACGCTGTGTGGAGGTGCCAGCCCTCGAGAAGGGGCGAGGGGAGACTGTGTGCCCGCAGTCACAGGGAAGAGCACCGTGTTCGGACAACTGAAGTGGACTCAACCAGACGACAGGATCTGGCAAAGAGAAACACTCTTCACAGCCTCCTGAGAGAGGCCGGGGAGCACAGACAGGCAGGCAGCAGCGGAGGCTCCGAGCTGAGCTCCCCGTGAGGACCGAGCTGTGAAAGGTGGAGAGGAGAAGACAAGGAATCCAGGCCGAGGGAGCAGCACACACAGAAGACGCCATCAGGAGACTCCGAAGGGCCACGGGGCTTACGGGGAACTGGAAGGGGCTGGACGAGGCCAGATGGCCCAGACAGAGTGAACATGCCAGGCACGGTTTGGACCTGATTTTGCAGGTGCTGTGGACCCACGCCACGCAAGTGGTTTGGAGAAGAGGGATAAGCCTTCATGAGGGTCGGGAAGAAACTGCGGGTGGCTGAGTAAAAGGTGGCTGGCCAGTGGGGGAAAGGGAGCAAAGAAAGCCCCGGCTGGGGAGAGGGGTGAGCTTCTCAGGCCCGCACACGGCAGCCACGGGGTAGAGACTGTCAACACCAAGGCGGGGTGGCACGGAGCCGCACACGGGCCTCACCTGTGCTTCTCGCCTTCCTCCTCCCCTTCTCTGAGCTGCTTGGTCTTGGGCTCCCCGTCTTCCTTGTCCTGCAGAGGAAGGGAGAAAACCACTTGCTCAGATGGATGCTCCTACTTCCCGTCCTTGATGCCCAGGGAGCCGGGGAAGAATGGGGCACCTCAGGAGCCTCTCACCCCGGCAAGGCGCAGCTGGGTGCCGCGGCCTCCAAGGGGCGCACGACACCGGAGCCTCACTGCCCAGCCTTCGACTCCCCCGCCACGATGCCCACAAAACCTAACAGCCGGTGAGCCCAGCCCGGGCCAGGCTCATGGTGACCCCCAGAGAACACCAGCAGGAGGAGCTAGAAGGTCTGAGTGGTGAGAAATGCAGGTGGTCGGTGACCCCTCAACGGGTCTGGATGGAGCCAGCCACCCAGCTGGGAAGGGCAGTCACCAGCGACCAGGGTGGCGCAAAAGCTCGGGCCTCCGGACCCCCCCTTCCAGGCCAGGGGCCTCTCTAGGAACACCTACTTCCTTACCTTAAGGAGTAGCATAACTCAAACTAGAACCAGGCTGAGAATAAGACTCCTGCCATATACTCAGGGGACGGAGAGAAGGCGAACTAGTTTGAAGTTTCTATGGGAAAAACTTCTAAATCTGCTTTGTCTTCCTCCTGCCCCCCATCTCTTTGTAAGTCTCAAACCTGACACAACATACTCGCTCTCCAGGGACACCAGGGGCCGCAACAGAGGATACCACCATGCTGCTTCCAGCGGCAGAAGCAAGTGTCTTCCTGGGCTCTCTCCCTGACTCTGTAAGATCCGACTGGCCCGGGGGACAGACAGACATGCAGGGTGTGTGCCCATGTATGTGCTCACATGCAGGACCATGTTCTCGATGCACATGCTGAGGCACTCCAGGGTCTCTGTACCTGCCAGGACCGGCCCTCTGAGGGTGTCACTGTGCACTCTGTGACTGGCAGCAACGTGCCTTTGACCATCGGGCTGGGGCAGCATTCTGAGACATCAGTAAGGCGCTGCCACAGGGAGGCCACTACGACGTAAGAAAGAGCTACAGGGGTGCCTGGCGGGCTCGGTTGGAGGAGCATACGACTCTTGATCTCAGGGTGGTGAGTTCGAGCCCCATGTTGGGGGTAGAGATTACAAAAAAAAAAAAAAAGAAGAAACTAAAAAAAAAAAATCTTGCCATTTGCAACGACATGGATGGAACTAGGGTATTATGCTAAGAGAAATAAGTCAGAGAAAGACAAATACCATATGATTTCATTCCTATGGGCAATTTAAGAAACAAAACAGATGAATGTAGGGGAAGGGAAAGAAGAAATAAAATAAGATGAAATCAGAGAGAGAGACAAACCGTAAGAGACTCTTAACTCTAGAAAACAAACTGACGGTTGCTGGAGGGGAGGGGGATGGAGGGATGGGGTCATCGGGTGACAGGCATGAAGGAGGGCACGTGATGAAATGAGCACCGGGGATTATGTGCAACTGATGAACCACTAAATTCTACCCCTGCTACTAATAACACAGTATATGTTACCTAAAATGAATTTAAATAAAAAGTTTACAAAAGGAAAAAGCTAGAGCTGACATATAAATTTTAAGTAAGACAGTTCCATGCGCTAACTCTCCTCCAAGTTTGTTTATACCACTGACAGCTGCCTCCGGAGAGTGGCGTTTGCTTTATGAATCCCTTCCTAACAGTGATCATCATGGACACCTGAGAACAACCAGACCCCACCATTCCTTGGCCTCATACTTACAGGGAAGGAGACCCCCCCCGCCCAAACCAGCCTAGAGGCGTCTGGTGCAGCAAAATGCTTTTATGATGTGAGCGGATCAAGGTAAGCCCTTGCTCTTTCAGCCCAGAGCAGCCTAGTCCCAGGGACGAAGCAGCAGGAACGAGTGACGGCAGCCACGTGAGAGAGGTCAACATGGTTCTATGGGGTGAGGAGGGATGGAGAGAATGTGGGGGTTACAGGAGTAGGAAAGGCCTTCCCGGAGGGGGGCGCAGTTTGAGCAAAGGTGGGTGTGGTCTGCAGAACACCCAGGTGGTTGGAGTAGCAGGCCTGGTGAAGGTGAATGCTGGTCAAGTTGTCAAGGCAGGTGGGGCCGGTCTCAGAGGGCTCTGACCAAGGTCCTAAGTAAGGCACGAGGAGCCAGAGGAAAGCCTGGGGGACCTGTTGGCAGAAGGACCTTTCCTAAGGGCCTGGCCACCTCGCTGGACAAGCAAGCCCTGGGGCAGAGAGGCTTTCGCCTGGTGATGTCCAAAGACAGAAGGGAGGACAGAGTACAAACTCTGAAATGAGAAACAAGCTAGGGTTCTTGGTATGGCCTCCAGAGCTGCAGGAGCCTGGGTAGGACCTTCCACAGAGGCCCAACGGAAACACGCTCCCCTTTCCCTGACGAAATGCCAGTGGATTAAGCAAGCCATGAGCCTGAACAGTCAAAAAAAAAAAAAGCTCCTTCCCAACTGCCCGTCAGCAGGCTCCCAGATGGCCTGCCGCCCCTTGGTAAGTAAGGACAGAGGTGGAAGGGCAGAGAAAGGCTCAGCTCTCCCCAACGTGGGCTGGTGGGCAAACCCCCCAGGAAGGCATCTTTCCACGGGGCTCTGTTAACCTGGACCTGCTGGCAGAGGAGGGTGGGGAAGGACCGGCCTCTGGGAACCAATCCTTTGCAAACACCGAGCCCCTTCTCGGCAGCCACCGCCACCACTGCCATCCTGGAGTCCCAGAGACACTCGAGTGCCTTGGCACAGGCTGGTTATTCATTAATAAATGAGAAAACACGCAACTATCTCTGTGACACCATTAACTCTGCCCACAGCGTGAGGTTAAGGATGATCCCGGCCTGGGCTGCTGTGTGAAGAGCAGGTGCTCAGGAACAATGAAGAGATGCGTGTGGGGCAGGAGCAAGGTAACACATACACAGGCCACAGAAATACAAGGACGAGATGCGCTCCAGTCTTCACGCTCAACAGCAACTCCCAGGACAGTGAGCACTCCTGAGCAGGGAAACAGCTTCTGGGTGATCCTGGCCTCGGTCCCAAGGCAGGATACTCATTACCCGGGCTGGCGGCAGGAGGTGGAGACCACCCTCATGGCCCACCCCAGCCTAAGGGCCTCAAAGGGCCCCCAGAATGGAAGGTCCTCAGTCCAACCCACAGGGAGCCTGGAAACCGCCATCAGGGAAAGGGACAAGATTTGCCCAAGGCCACAGAGCCGGTCCATGGTGACTGCAGATGTGGATCAAAGTCTTTCTGACCCCTGCCCTGTGTTCTCACCGAGGAGAGAGATAAGAGATAGTGTATGAAGAGTGGCACTCAGTTTCTAAAAACAGTTCTGACCCCAGCCACCTCTCCCCGGCTCTCCCAACGTTCAGCCCGAGTCCAGGTCCAGGCCCTGGTGCACACCCTTGGAGGGCAGACAGGGCCCGAGGGGCACAGCATCCCTGGCAACCTGGAGACACCCCACCCACCCTGAGACAGTTAAATCCGACTCACTGCTTAACCCCTCCCCACACACACACCCTTCCCCAAATTTCCCACCTTTCTCCCTCCTTCCCAGTCCCTGTTCTCTGGTCCTTGCCCTCTCCCTTGCCACCTCCACCGGTGCCCACCACAACCCAGCCCACAGCTGTGCCCCCGCCTTGCCGTGCTTGCCTGCCAGCCTGCCAGTTGGCTGCCCCTCTGCCCCAGAGAACACAGCTTCCTGCTGCACTTGCTTCCTTTTCCTCTTCTCCCTCCACTTTACCATCCGCATCCCAGGTGCTGGTCATATCACACCGCGCCTCTGCTCAAAGCTCTCGCTGGCTCCCCAGAGGCCTGGGACAACAGCCATTCTCCTGAAGCGGCAGCCTCATGAGGCCCCAACACCCGCCCTACAGCCCATTCACACTCGCCCCTGTCCAGAATACCTTGACACCACAGCCTCTCCCTCTCAAATCCTGATATGCCCATTCTCACAACCCTGAAGAAAACCCACTCTCTGGCCAATTCTGGAGGTCGGCTCAAAGGCCACCTCCTCCAGGCAGCCTTCTGAGGTTCCCAGACAATAGGCAGATCACTCCTCTGGGCCCAGGCATATGGTCATTCCTGTTCATATCCAGGCCTCCCTCAAGTCCTTCATGTCTTCCTCAAGTGTGGGGCATCTCCTGGAGCCCCTCCTGGCCTGGACTAGACAAACTTCACCAACTGTTTGCCAATTTAACTACTCTCTCCACCAACTCCAGAAGAGCCAAACTCCTGGAAACAGTGGTGGCGGAGGGCAGAGGAAAGCCACATCCTGGACGAGGGTCCTCTTGCCTCTTCCTGGAAATGCCTCCCACAGCCTACACAGGGGGAAAGGGTCTTGATGCAAGACTTAAGGGGCCTCAGAACAGCCCTGCCCAAAACAGAGACCAACCGAGCTGTTTCATACTGTTTGAAATCCTTTTGCCAGAAACCAAATTTTTGCAAATAAAGTAAGGGTTGTGCAAGATTGGTATTACTTCTTCCTTAAATCTATGATAAGACTTCAGCGAAGCCATCTCGGCCCAAAGTTTTCTTTGTGAGATTTTAGGTATGGGGCTCTACAGGTTTTCTATTTCGTCCTCAGTCTCATTAATTCGTATCTTTCAAGGAGTATCCATTTCACCTAAGTTCCTGAATGTATTGGCATAAAACCGCTTCTAACATTCTCTTATTATCCCTTTAACGTCTGTAGGATCTGTAATGATATCCATTGACACTGACAACCTCTGTCTTTTCTCTTCCTCTCTTAGACCAGCTGGAGGGGCACCTGACTGGCTCAGTCAGCAGAGCATGCAACTCTTAATCTCAGGGTCATGAGTTCAAGCCCCACGTTGGGCACAGAGCTTACTTAAAAAAAATAATAAAATATTACAACAGCCGGAGGTTCATCAATTCTGGGACATTCCAGACTTGGTGTCTTAAACAATGTGTTTGCTCCTCAGTCCCTTTCCAGAAGAAGCGCTCATTAGCTGAGTACCCCTGCAGGGAATGGGGGGAGCACATCAATCCATATTTGCTGCCTGAGCCCCATGAGAAACTCAGTCAACCATCAGAAATGC